CGCGATCGCGGCTTTTTTTTTTTTGCTTGGGGCGGCAGAAATGCTGGAGCCGGCCCTGATTTCATGTATGTAGTTATGAGGCTGAAAATGTATCCTCATGGCTTAAAATAAGCACAGGCAAAAACTCTCCAAGAGCAGAGAGGCAGTTCACACCTCATCAGGACAGGTATGGGGCAAACCCAGCCCAGCCTCACAGGAACAAAAAACGCTGGCCTAGGCAGCAACAAAAGAATCTGTTAGATTCTCGAGGGAGTCACCCCCTTTCCTTTGGTCAGTTTGGAACTGCAATGAGGTTATGTTCACCTGACTCGGAAGTGGGAGGTGGAGCAAGGCCAAGAGGGAAGAAAGGACATGATAAAAGGAAGAGACATTTGCCATGCTCTCTCTCTCTTCCACCTACATCTACAGACACCACACCAAGCAACTGAAGCGCTGATCAAAGGGCAGAGCCTGACTGAAGAGCAACCAGCCAGCCTGTGGTGAGAAGCATCTAAGTTTGTAAGGACATTGAACATGTTAAGATCAGCTTTTATTTCATTTGACCAAATCTGACCTTTTATGCTTTGACTTATAATCACTTAAAATCTATCTTTATAGTTAATAAATTTGTTTGTTTATTCTACCTGAAGAGTGCGTTTGGTTTGAAGTGTGTCAGAGGCTCCCCCTGGGATAACAAGCCGGGTACATATCAATTTCTTTATTAAATCATATAAGCTTGCAGCATCCAGCGGGCACAACTGGACACTACAAGACGGAGCTTCCTAGGGTTGTGTCTGGGACCGGAGATATTGGCTAGTGTCATTCGCTTGCAAGTACCTGGGAGCAGCTTACATGCCAGAGGCTGTGCATGAACAGCCCAGGGGTTCTCACAGCAGAGCAGGGTAAGTTTGGCTCCCAGAGTCAAGGATTGGAGTGGCTTAGCAGATCACCGGTCCAGACAACACCAGAGGGGAACGTCACAGTAACCTTATCTCCAGTCAACTGAGTTAACAAATAATTGTTCTCATAAATCTTTCCTGCTCCTAAGATACGTTTCAAGTTAACTTTCTCATTTCTTTGCTTTTCTTTTGCTCTCGAGGAGTCTGTTTGCTTTCACAGCATTGAGAAGATTAAAACAAAGATTGTTTTTCTGGGACAGCAAAGGTACCCACATGAGCTAGGGATTATCAATACAGGCACCCCCAAATATATAACCCCCAGGGCTACAGAGTAGAGAGCTAGCCTGAAGCAGAACATTATCTACTTTTAGCTCAATTTTTCTACAGTGACCATCACCATAGTATCTGACTGCATTAGTTTCTTTCCTCTTTTCCCTTTTCGTTTGCCTCAGTCAACAAAACCTTAGCTAGCACTATCTTCATGTCCAAACTTCCCGCCATGCAATCAGGGGGGGAATGTATTTCATTCAGATTATAGCTATGCAATGATCTTCAGTCACTGGCTACCCACCTACCTGTACATGACAGAAGGTACACTGGCAAAGCTCAATGACACACCAGCAGAGACTGCCCTGCAGGTCATCTGTAATGCTGACACACTGTTCACTGTACACAGTCCAGACTCGCTTCATCTATGTCACCACCATCTTCCACACTGACAGTTAAATTTACTGGCTTCACTAATAATGCTAGCTCTTACAGGTTCCCACAGTAACACTTGCTCCCTTGCCAGTACCGTGACACTTCTGTAACATCACCAGCTGCAGAAAACAGCCTCGCTATTATCAGCAACAGAATTTTTAGTCACCTGTCAACATTCAACCTTCTTTCTGTACTGAAAAATCAGGCAATGAGTGAAATAGTTCTTGGGAGTAATAGAATGAGGCAGGCAGCCAGCAGCCCATCTATAAACAAGTAATTATTCTACTGTCAGTTTAACTGAGTTCAGATTCACAGGTCGAAATGCAGGCCTAGATTCTGGCTTGCATTAGGACAGTTTCTGTGGCACTCCCAAAGCTCAAAGCTGGCCTAAAGCTGACTTAACCAGCTATGGGAGTATTGCCACAGGGGAATTGTCAGGTGGCCTAGTAGCTGCTATAGTGGCTCCTTCTCCATTCCCTCCACTGTTGCTGGTGCAGGGGCTGTGGCCAGGGCTCTTTTATCCCCAGTAATACCTGGTGGCTGGAAGAGCCCCTTGGGGCTGTTGGCACCTGGTATAAATTAATGTAGCCCTTAGGGCAGTGGTCCCCAAACTGTGGGGAGAGCTCCCCTAGGGGAGCATGGAGCAATGTTCAGTGGGTCGTGGCGGGGTCCGTGCCAGGCTCCATGGGAGGTGGGGACGGAGCGGCACCCAGCCCTGCTCTGCCCTCAGCCCCGCTCCGGCCCAGCCCCGGGCTCCCGGCCTGACTGCGGCCCAGCTCTCAGTCGCAGCCCCCGGCTCCTGACCCCAGCCACAGCTCTGGCTCCAGCCTCCGACCATGGCTTCCGGGGGTGGGGGTGGTCAAATTATATTAGGAACAAGGGGCGGGGGACTTAAAAAACTTTTGGGGACAACTGCCTTAGGGCCCCAGATAGTTCCAAGGCTGGAGGAGCATTAAAGTGACTTAAAGCCATCTTTACACCCTGCTTCTTCAGCTGCATGAAGCACTCAGGATCTGAGCCACAGGAAGGCATGGCCTGCTGATGACTATCTGCCTATACTTCGGAGGTATAACAGGACAAGCACGGCTACCTCTGTCCCTTCGAAGCAGGGCCGGCTCCAGGCACCAGCCCACCAAGCTTGTGCTTGGGGCGGCACCTGGAGGGGGGCGGCGCGGTGCTCCGGCCACTGGGAAGAGCGGGGCCACGGCCGGGCTCACCGCCCTCCCCCCGGCGCTCTGGCCGCCCTCCCCCCCCGGCGCCCTCCCCCCCCGTGGGGGGAGGGTGGCCGGAGACTTTTTTGCCTGGGGTGGCAAAAAAGCCAGAGCCGGCCCTGCTTCGAAGCATCAGACTGATCATCTGAGAAACAAGTGTCCTCGTGTATCTTCCAGGCCTGATCCTGCAGGTGCTGTGTGAGTGGAACTGCCATGTGAGTCAGTGGGAATTCCACACGCTGAAGAGTCATGGAAACACATAGGCACAAGCACTGGGCACAAGCACTGGGGAAGTTGGGCACTCAGAGGGACAACCTCTCCCTCCAAACCTTTTGCCTTCCACTGATGTCCTCACCTCTAACTCTTGCTGAGCACCCTGCACAGCTGGCTGCAGCTCTGTCATAGCATGCTCTGCTGGCCGCTCTATTCCACTCAGCTGCTATTATGGCCACTAAATGCGGGAGGCCAGGAAGCAGAGCAGAGCAGGAGGCAGCATGCAGTAGGGAACACAGCGCCAGCCAGCCAGCTCAGCATAGAACCCTGCACCAGGAAGCTGGCAGCCCTGATATCCTCACCCCACACTGGGGTACAAGTAGCAGCCTGAGGATGCTCCAAATGCCCCATTCCCTCAGACACAGGATGCCCTACCATCTCTAAGGGCTTGGACAGAGAGAGAGCAGAGACTGTGCTGGGATAGTGACAGACTCTGGGGAGGACAGAAAGTACAGTGAGAACCCAACACCACAGTATCCAAAACTTGCAACTCTTAGGGCTGGTCTACACTAGAAAGCCAGCTTATGCTGACCTAATTATGTCAGTGTACACACTACACCCTTACTCCCACCATTGTAACGGCTTACCTACACTACGGCACAGATTTGATCTAAGATACGGAACTTCAGCTACGTGAATAGCGTAGCTGAAGTCGATGTACTTAGATCTACTTACTGCTTGCAGTGTAGACATACCCTAAGTCTCAATTTTTTCCCAAGGGAAGGATCGCTGCACCCCACCCTTTAGGTTTCTTGTCCCATTAATTTTTTTAAAATGTGTTTTCCTGCCCCAATTGTAATCAAATGACAATGTTACATTCTAGAAGGATGTGGTTTTTGCACTGAAATGTCTACAGACACTGATTGAAGATTATGGGGTTGTGGTTGCAGTTTTAAGGCATTCACTTTTCATATGAAGAAAGACTGCATTAGTAAGAACATCTATCGGCAAGATTAATTTACCAAAATCCTGGGTGATATTAACTCCATGTGTGTGTGTCTGTTTATGTATATATACATATATACCTATCTCATAGAACTGGAAGGGACCCTGAAAGGTCATCGAGACCAGCCCCCTGCCTTCACTAGCAGGACCAAGTACCGATTTTGCCCCAGATCCCTAAGTGGCCCCCTCAAGGATTAAACTCACAACGTTGGGTTTGGCAGGCCAATGCTCAAACCAGTGAGCTATCCCTCCCCCATTATATATAATGCTGTCACCTATTTCCCTCAACATGCTTTCCTAGTTTGTGATGGGGAAACTGGGTGAGATGAAGCATCGGCTAGCCACAATGTGACCTCAATCTTTCTTGATAATTCTGTTACACTGATGAAAAAACTGGGGCAACTCCATTGAATCAATGGAGTGTAGGATCAAGCCTATTTTCTACCATAGGTTGTCCTAGGCTTCACCTGCACAGGTTAAATCAAATTCTGTTTGAATTTTGTATTAACACCCATCATTGCAGCATCTAGACTCTTCCCGGGTCGATTAGATTTGCATAGCAAGGTCCCTATGGCAGCCTTTTGACTCTTCTCCCTTCTCTGGTGATAGGAAGCTCTTAGTAGATGAAAACAAGGAACAGAAGGCAACAAATCTAACCATTAAATGAGTGTTGATATCCAGCACTTGCCTTTTGTTTGTTTGTTTTCGGTCTTGTCCTTTTCCCACCCCAAGCTGTAGGGGTATAAGTTGGTATTTGGGAGTAAGGGAGAAGATGAGATAATAGGTCTTGTGGAAGAGGTGAGTTTTAAGGAGAGAGTTTAACGGGGTCATGGTTGAATAGGTCATGGAGGGGGCTTCAGGCATCGGAGGACACGTGAATTGGAAAGAATGCAGTGAGGCAAAAGTGGGAGAAGGAAATAAATAGGGGGTCTAGCTAGTCACAGGGTTTGGACACAATGAAGGAGGCAAAGGGGCTAGTGAAAGGAGACAAGGTTTGGAGGGTAGTTGTCAGATGACAAGCCCCCACGGATGCTGATGGGGGTAACTTGATGTAAGTGGGCTGATTACTAAGCACAGACACTGCATTGGGATTAGGTAAGATAGTAGCTAATCAACGTGGTGCTTTTTTAAAGTAATTTTTAAAAGAAGGGGTAAGAATTTCCTTCCAACCCTTTACAATTTCTCCTGGGAAGAGCAAAGCCTTAATCTCCTGAAGTGGGAGAAGGCCCTATTCCAGACAAGCCACTGATTTTGCAAAAGTGTTAGTTCATTGACACTGAACTATCATTTGGCATTTTAGCAAAGCAAGCCGCTCACTAAAACCTGTGCTGTCAATGGGGGTGTACTTTATTTCTCTAACATCTTTAAATGAAGCTTTTTAAGAATGCAAGGCAGCTATTTAAAAGCATTTCTTAAAAAGCCAGGCCTTTTTAAAATATTGAATGACACGGTTTCTATGTTGTGCACAGGATGGAGCTACCCAATGCCCACTGACACTGATGTCAAGTTGTGTGGCTGAGTCTCCATGCAGCACCTTGAAATCAACTCTGTTGCATGACTAAAAATGCATATTTTGACATATGGATAGAAACCCCATTAGTCTCTTCCATTGAGCTGTATCACCATCTTTCATGAGCTTTGAAAATTCACAGCCAATAGAAGAAAGAAATGCTATTTAGTATTATCCTGTACTGACTGTTTTATCAATAGTCTCATCTACAGTATAGGTGCTTTGTGAGCTGGTAAACTGGCTGGAGTAGTGAGGCCTCAGGGTGAAGCTAGCTAGTCTATAACTTCTTAACTGAGCATCCTGAAATCTTCACCTATTTAAAAATTTCATTTTTTAAAATGACAAAACATTAATAACCTCGGGGGGGGTGGGGTGGGGAGAGGAAGAATAAAAAACTTCTAGGGTTTAGAGAATATTGCAACTTCTACATCCAGATGAAACAGATATTTTTCTGCATTTTTGAGAGACAGACATAGTCTTCCCACCCACTCTGGTCTTGTTCCTGAAGCTAATTAGAATGCATCAAAGAGCAAGGATGGATTTTGAAGGTTTGTATATAGGAGCTCTAATCAAAGTGGTATTTTGGTATTTGAATTCAAATTCAGACATTGATTAACAGCTAATGGCAACAGTGCAGAGTCATTCACTCAGCCAATCAGTGGAATAAGGAGCCATTTGTCTTGGCTGGGCAACACAGGGAGCACAACTGAGCCATCTATACAAAGAAGAAATAGGGCCCCATCTTCAAAACCACTATTATTTCAAGTTGTAAATAAATAAATACTCTTACATGCATGTACAGAAAATGTGGAATAAATACATTCAAATCACGTACAACCAGTGCCAATATTTACTCCCTCCCAAGCCACTAAAATTTAAATTCTCCTCTTCTTGCAAATTCCCACCCTTTTCTCAATCTATCCTCTGCTCTTCTGAAGTTCAACAAATGTCAGATCTGTTGAACCCCAGGGATGAAGAGGAGGAAAGCACTTGAGAAGCTGATCTGCAGCACATGGCTATGGCCATGGTACTGGGAACAATTTGCTTCAGGAGCAGCTGTTTGACATTGTGACTTGTGATGCAAAAATCAAGATATTTTGACTTACAGAGAATTATAAACAAGAAACTCACCACATAGATCAGAAACTGCCAGCTAATTAAATAATTCTGTATTTTAGTTGCCGTGAGCTCCTGGGTTACATTTGGAGCGAATGTCACCAACAAATATGTTCCTGCAATTGTCAGGGTTCCACCTTTAAATAAAAACACACATTACTTTTACAAAGTATATTATTGTCCAATTTACCATTCAAGCCCCTTTGAAAGTAGTTTCTAGCATAAAGTTAAATCCACTTAATTAGATATACAATTAGCTACTCATGTTGCCTGCATCTGAAGTCTTACCCAGGGCCGGCTTTAGGCCGATTCCCCTGAATCGGGCCCCGTGCCTAAGAGGGCCCCGCGCCTTAGGCTCACCTGGCAGCAGTCCACTCCGGCGGCATTTCGGCGGTGGGGGGGTCTTTCAGTGCCACGGAAGACGTGGAGCAGACCCCCCGCCACCGAAGTGCCGCCGAAGACCCGGACCGCCGTCGGGTATTTGAATCGGGCCCCGCAGGTCCTAAAGCCGGCCCTGGTCTTACCTAGTATAATTTTTAAATAAAATCCAGAATAATTCTGGGGAACTCCTTCAGAACTGTAAAGAGACATTATCAGCATAGTTTCATACTTTTCTGAAATAGGACCCTGGTTCAGCAAAGCAGAACAAAGGAGAATCAGGTCCCTTATTTCTGATAGTCATGACCATGTCCCAAATTACTGTCAACTAAAAGGACATGCTGTTTATTGAGGCAGGGGCAGATTCTCAGCTGGTGTAAATCAGTGTAACTCCTCTGAAGTCAAAGTAGCTACACAGATTTACACCGCTAAGGATCTGGCCTGGAATCTCTAAGAGCAACAGATGTGTGACAACTTCATAGCTAAGTGTAAAGCTGACATGAAGCCAGCCCTTTTGCCACTCCCTACCATCCTTGCAGATCTACAAACTGTTTCATAAAAGGGCAGAGTTGATTTGCAAGAGGCTACTCAGTTATCCGGTTGTGGGGGCCCCTTTTCAAGGTCAAACTTGTATTATTGTGTTTTTAATAAAAGTCTGGAACTTCTGCCCTGTGGATAGCCAGCTGACAAACACAGATGTTCCTGGGGATATCTAGATGTAACTAGGCTGATTACTGAGCTCAGAAGCTCCATTGATTAGCTAATATCTTACCTAATTCAATGTAGTTGTTTTTTAAGTAATCATTAAACATTCTTGGAAACCAATAAATCAATATGGAACATGAGGTTTAAGAATACAAAACAAAGCACATCAGCAGGACATTGCTGGCACTGCTACAGCACGGTTTCTTTGGAAAAGCAGAACTGTTCTAAATTTATGTGCCTGCAAAAACATCACCATATTTCCCATTATACAGCTCATTCCTATGGAATGCAGCAACATTGTTAAATCCTTCATGCAAAGTCAAACTAACAGAAATAAAATAAATCAGTGTTGAATGCTAGTTAAAGCAATGTGCAATGTATAAGGCAACGATCAGTTGAGGGATGTAGACTCTCAGTGCATCAGTTGAGTTGGCAGATTAGGATCCAAAACCTAAGTAAATATTATAGGTTGTTGGAACAATACTGAACTTCTTTCTCAAAAATGTGCACAACAACAGCTGTGCTATAATTATCACACTATGGACTAAATCTTGCTCAACATGCCACATGAGTAACATGTCCCCAAAAATATCAATGGCACTGCTCACTTGGATAATTCATCCGGGAAGGCATGGTTTAAAAAGCAAAAACTGAAATCTGCTTGCCTTTTTCTGTTAAAATGCTCGATTCCTTCAAGGCTATAAATGAAGAATGCAGAGCAAGACAGTTTTGAAACACAACTAAAATCTTTGATGCAGCCAGAAAGCCTACGGCTTTTGCAACAAAGACCTTGTTCCACAGTAAGACATTTGATAACGTGATTATCTCTCCTGCTTTTTTGGAATGACTAAGTTAGTATAAAGGAGTAAATAGTTCTCATTTTTTAAATGAAGCTTTAATTTTTGTGTAATACCTTCAGTGTAAAAACACTCTTTAATTTGAAAGAACAGCTAATCACCTAGCCATTTGTACTGAACTTGCATCATGTTCATAAAATACTAAATACCATCTCAGAGTTAAAAATATGCAATGAAAGAGTGATCTTAAGTAAGTAATCTCTACCATATGTAAACCTTAAGTTACAGCTCTAAGGGTGGAGGATTTTGGATCACTATCTAATTTTCATATGCAAATAAGATTTCTAGGGCTGTCGATTAATCGCAGTTAACTCATGCGATTAACTCAAAAAAATTAATCGCGATTAACTGCACTGTTAAACAATAGAATACCAATTGAAATTTATTAAATATTTTTCGATGTTTTTCTACATTTTCAAATATATCGACTTCAATTACAACACAAAATACAAAGTGTACAGTGCTCACTTTATATTATTTTTGATTACAAATGTTTGCACTGTAAAAAGGATAAACAAAAGAAATAGTATTTTTCAGTTCACCTCATACAGGTACTGTAGTGCAATCTCTTTGTCATGAAAGTGCAACTTACATATGTTGTTTTTTGTTCCATAACTGCACTCAAAAACAAAACAATGTAAAACTTTAGAGCCTACATGTTCACTCAGTTCTACTTCTTGTTCAGCCATTCACTAAGAGAAACAAGTTTGTTTACATTTACTGGAGATAAAGCTGCCCTCTTCTTAATTACAAAGTCACCTGAAAGTGAGAACAGGCGTTCGCATGGCACTGTTGTAGCTGGCCTCGCAATATATTTATGTGCCAGATGCGCTAAAGATTCATATGCCTCTTCATGCTTCGGCCATCATTCCAGAGGACATGCTTCCATGCTGATGACGCTTGTTAAAAAAACAATGCGTTAATTAAATTTGTGACTGAACTCCTTGGGGGAGAATTGTATGTCCCCTGCTGTTTTACCCGCCTTCTGCCATATATTTCATGTTATAGCAGTCTCGGATGATGATCCAGCACATGTTGTTTGTTTTAAGAACACTTTCACTGTAAATTTGACAAAATGCAAAGACGGTACCAATGTGAGATTTCTAAAGATAGCTACAGCACTTGACCTAAGGTTTAAGAATTTCAAGTGCCTTCCAAAATCTGAGAGGGACGAGGTGTGTTCAGCAGGCTTTCAGAAGTCTTAAAAGAGCAACAATCTGATGTGGAAACTACAGAACCCAAACCACCAAAAAAGAAAATAAACCTTCTGCTGGTGGCATCTGACTCCAATGATGAAAATGAACATGCATTGGTCTGCACTGCTTTGGATCGTGATTGAGCAGAACTCGTCATCAGCATATACGCATATCCTCTGGAGTGGTGGTTGAAGCATCAAGGGACATACGAATCTTTAGCGCATCTGGCATGTAAATATCTTGCGACACCGGCTACAACAGTGCCATGCAAATGCCTGTTCTAACTTTCAGGTGATGTTGTAAACAAGAAGCAGGCAGCATTATCTTCTGCAAATGTGAACAAACTTGTTTGTCTGAACGATTGGCTGAACAAGAAGTAGGACTGATTGGACATGTAGGCTCTAAAGTTTTACATTGTTTTATTTTTGAATGCAGAGTTTTTTTGGACATAATTCTACATTTGTAAGTTCAACTTTCATGATAAAGAGATTGCATGACAGTACTTGTATTAGGTGAATTGAAAAATACTATTTATTTTGTTTTTTACAGTGCAAATATTTGTAATCAAAAATAAAGTGAGCACTGTACACTTTGTATTTTGTGTTGTAATTGAAATCAATATATTTGAAAATGTAGAAAACATCCAAAAATATTTAAATAAATGGTATTCTATTATTAACAGCATGATTAATCACAATTAATTTTTTTAATCGCGCAATTAATTGCGATTCATTTTTTTAATTGCTTGACAGTCCTAAAGATTTTCCTTCACATTGTGACATGGGCCCAATTTTTAAAGTATATGCCTTTAAACATTTGCTGGGGCAAGTGGGGGTGTTTGAGTTTGAGACTTCCAGTTTGCTAAGCATATGGAACCACACATGCTTGTGTTCGCAACTGCTTACTTACCTAACATATCAGCAGCCCTCATGGTTTCTTTTAGGAATAAGACAGAAATAAACGCACTACCTGGGGAAAAAAATTATATATTTATACAGCACTGTATTAAAATGGGATGGGCCAGGCATAAAACACATAATAATTGCTGTGATGGCTGCAGCATGCTTTGTCATGCAGATACTGAGGCTCAGTACAGTGGTAGGGACTGGGAACAGGGACTTCTGGAATCAAACTGAGCTGTCACTTACAAGGTGTACGTTGTAGGTATAAATTCAGATTAACTCCATTGACTTTGGAAGAGCCTCCATTTTTGCTCTGATGTAACTGAAAGCAGAATTCAGTCTTTAGGGCTTGTCTACCCACAGTTTTTGTACCATTTTAACTGTATCCATTTGAAACAAATGCTGTTCAAGCATTGCGACACCCAAAAATTAAAAAATCTGTGCACAATATTTTAAAATTCTGCAAGCTTTATTTGTCAATAAATAAATGCAGAGGCTGCAGCATGGCAGTGAGGCGCACAGGCCACTGGCTGTACGAAGGTGGGAGATAACCAGGGCCGTCCTTACCCATACGGGTAAGTACGCGGCTGCGTAGGGCACCAGGAAATTTGGGGCACCAAATTTCCTGGTGCCCTGCGCAGCTGCATGCTGCTCCAGCCCCTGCTCCGGCTTTTCCCCAGGGCCCCGCCCCTGCTGCACCCCAGCACCGCCTCTTCCCTCCCCCGCCTCGCCCCCACTCCCTGCCTGCACTCACCGGTAAGTAGAGCGACCCAGCCCCAGCCTGCTCCTCTCCCCTGTCTCCCAGCCGTGCCACCGGCGAGTGCTGGGAGGCGGTTCCTCCCTCCCCCAAGCCTGGGAGCCAGGGGAGAAGAGCAGTCTGGGGCCAGGTCATTCCACTTCCTGCAGGAAGTGACCAGCTCCCCTCCCCCCACGGAGGCCTGGGGCCCCACATAGCCCCCCCACAGGGGGGCTGTGTAGGGCACCAAAATAGCTAGGGACGGCCCTGGAGATCACCCTGCAGCCTGACCCATCCCCCACCCCAGGAACATGGACTCAGTGGTGAGGCTGCACCCAACCCTGAAACTGCACAAGGCCTGGGCCTGCCCCAGAAACACCCTGGGGCCTTGCTCCGCTGCACCAGGCTCACCAGGTGTGGGGCAGACAGGCTCAACCAGGCAGGATCCAAGTGTGGAGGGGGCTCAGTGTGGAGTGAGAGGATTCTGCGTGGGACAATCTGGGTGCAATTCAGTGGGGGGTGTAGGTGTGGGGGGATCTGGATGCACAGAGGCTCGTTGTGGTGTGGTTCCAGGTGCAATGGGACTCTGCAGGGGCTTCCAAGTGAAAGTGGTTGGGGCTCAGCAGAGGAGTCTGGGTGTGGGGGTCTCAGCAGGGGGGTCTGGATGCTGGGGGAGTGGGGCTTGGTGGGGTGGGGTCTGAGTGCAGGTAGTTGGGGGTCAGTGGCTTGGGGGTCTGGATGTGGGGGCTCAGGGTGGTGCAGGGAGGTGGGACTCATCAGGGTGGGGATTTGAGTGCAGGAAGCTCAGTGGGGGATGGTCTGGGTTCAGGGATTGGGGCCGGAGGCAGGGGGTCTGGTTGCAGGGGGGCTCCAGATGTAGGGGTTGAGGTTCAGTGGGGTAGGGTTCAGGTATGGAGGCTTAGGGGGGCTCTGGACGTACAGGGTGAGGCTTGGTGGGGGCCTCTGGGTATGGGAGGTCCAGATGCACAGGGGTTGGGTAGATGGGGGGGGCAACTCCCCATACAGTGACCCCTCCCCCCACTGCTGAGGAGTAATGGGGTCAGGAAGTAGGGGAGGATACTGAGCTTCCTGCAGCTGGGGGAGGTTTCTGGGGGTGGATCTGACACAGCCCCAGCCACTCCTTGTAGGGGAAGAGGAAGTCCCATCCTCTCCTGCCTCCAGCCAGGACTAGCAACTGATCCCGGTTCAGAGTAGGAGCCACTGGCTGGAGTGTCCCCAGCCCTGCAGTGATTTACCTCTCCGCCAGCTGCTCCGGGTGCCTGAAATGACATACCTGTACTGCTAGGGAGTGGTGTGTGACTGCTCTTGCAGCTTTCCTTTGCTTCTCTGTCAGAAAGTCATTTTTCTTCAGGGAAGCAAAGAAATCTGCGGGGCACATGAATTCTGCACATGCGCAGTGGCGCAGAATTCCCTCAGGAGTAATAGACCAGTTCTTAGGTTCTATGCCCAGCTGTGCCCACTTCATGGCCGTGCATAACTCTGAATCTCTCTGGGCCTCTCTTTATTCATCTGTACAGAGGTATGATAATACTTCCTTAAAGTATACAATATTTGCAGAAGTACCTTGAAATCTGTGGATGAAAGCCATTATATACATGCAAATTACAGGACAAACTTTCTAATTTGCACTACTGACTAGGAGACTGGTTGTGATTTGCTGAAATTTGAAAATTAACAACATGTAACAAACCTTCAGGACTAGGGGCTTTTTAAGGTCTTCTAAGGGCACAGGCGCCGACTTTTCCAAATGCCGAGGGGTGCTCAACCCCCGGCTCTGCCCCGGGCCCTGCCCGCACTCCACCCCTTCCCCCAAGGCCTCACCCAGACCCCACCTCTTCCCAACCCCTCCTCTTCCCACCCAGCCCTGCCTCCTCCCCTGAGCGTGCTGCATCCTTGCTTCTCCCCCCTCCCTCCCAGCCTCTGATTGTGGTGGGCAGGAGGTGCAGGGACGGAGGAGGAGGTGCTGAGCTGCAGGGCCCGCTGGCGGGAGGCACTGGGGGCTTGGGGAGGATCTGATAGGGGGGTTGCTGGTGGGTGCTTAGCGCCCACCATTTTTTCCTCTGTGGGTGCTCCAGCCCCGGAGCACCCACAGAGTTGGCGCTTATGTCTAAGGGGCCTGGTGATGAGTAGCGGGGAGGACCTTATGGCTTCTGAGAGGAAGGCAAAGTGAGGAGTATTGGGAGAAGTTAGTCACAACTCAGTGCAAGCCACATCCTTTTTTCTGAGACCCAACTCCTTTCCCTGGCCAACTCTCTCATTTTATTCCTCTTCCCCCGATGCCTGCTCCCAGTCCTGCTTCATGTGGGGAAGTGGCAGTGGGTGAGCAGTTCAGAGCAGAAGCAGTGGCGGGGACCACGGCTGGATGAGTGAAGGCCAGGGAAAGCATGAAATTGTTGACATCCCAGGAAGGAGAGTTCTATTCTAGTATACTGTTGGGGGATGGAGGGGCGGTGGGCCTATGGAGGTGAGAACTTAATGGAAACCTCTCATTTAAGAGAAAGAAAGAAAGAGAGAGAGAAAGGGACTTGAGGAGAGAAGGAGGCAGAGTTGATGTAAGGAGGAGAAAGATGGGATATGAGCTCACTTGCAATTTCCAAGTATGATTCAGAGGGAGGGGATGGAAGGATGATCTTGTGCCTAGAACACAGGATTGTGATTCAAAAGACCTGGGCTCTATTCCTGGCTATGTCATGAACTTCATGTTTGACCCTTGGACAAATCACTTAACCTCTCCTTGCTGATTTCTCTGCCTCAGTATCTCCATTTCATGGATGACAAAACAAATCACCTGTGCCTAGCTGCCAAGCATACTTTGAGCATTTGCAAAACACTGCACAATCTTTCGCTAAAGAAATGCAAAGTATTATCATTGTTTCTGCTATAGTGCTTGTCCTAATGGTTGTAAAATACAGAAGACAAGGAAAAAAATATCCAGCTTGTGACCTGCTGCATGGGAGATATCGACATGCATGACAAGGAGGGTACAAATGATTTCCTGAGTTGCAAAACATTTGTTAAAAAAAAAAAAAAAAAAATCAGTGTGAGGTCTCCATGAACATCAGGAGATAGACAGACAATCAGCATTCAACAGCACTTCTGCACTCATCCATTCCGCAGAAAGTCTCCCAACAGAAACACAACATTTTTCTAAACAGCTTAGATGTAAATGATATGAACAGTTAAGGAAGTCTAGCTAAACCACTAATAATGATAAAAGAAACTATTTCTGAAAGTGCATCTCGAAGATGTACCTACTTAGCTGATTATGCTTCCTTTGCACAACATTAAGATGACAGCTTTGCTGAGCAAAACCACACTGGTATCCAAGCAACACCTTGTAAAACCAGAGCCAACCAACCAACCAAAAAAAAAAAAAAGTGGAAAAAAGGTAAGGAGGAGGGGTGGGGGAGAGCCCCCACTCTCCACCCCCAGAAACTGAATTACTGCTCTCTTTCTTTCCCTGCAATCACAGCTCTTTCAAATTTCTTATCAGGCCATCTACCTAGACAGTTGCTATAACAACAAAGAACCATTGCTTAATGAACTGATACTTCAGTAATAGAAAGGGTTTTTTGAGCCTGTGATCTTGTCCTACAAGTTAATGAATATGTTAAATGAAAGAACAAAAAGATTTGTGACCTACCCCTGCAAGGTACTGAGTACCTCTTGGAAGATGCCAAGTGCCCTCAATTCCCATGAAAGTGAATGGGGAACGGAGGGACTCCAACACCAGGGGAGGATAATAAATTTTAGGCCCTGATTCTTCAAACACACATGAGTAACTTTATGCACATGACTGTTCCTACGGACAGCAGTGGGACTACTCAGCTGGAGAGTTGCCAGTTCTTGCAATTTTATCATGAGTTTTATAAATGTTGGTGTTTTTCTTAAAGCCACAACTCCTGGAGTCATGGAATTGTGAGAATTCCACTGAGGGTATATCTACACTGCAATCAGGAGGTATGACTGCAGCATATCCAGACGTACCTGGGCTCATTTTGATCTAGCTAACTCAAATAAAAATAGCAATGAAGCTGCGGCAGTATGGTGGCTGCACAGGCTAGCCATGCCCGCCCAAGACCCAGGGTACCTACTTGAACAGCTGCCATCCATGCTGCCACGACGTCACACAGCTATTGTTATTTAAGCTAGTTTTGGTCTAGCTAGATCAAAGCTAGCTTAGGTACATCGACACATGCTGCAGTATCACAGTCATGCTAGGCAAAAACTACTGCATACAAAAGGGGGGGGGAATCTTAATTCAGGGGCTTAATTGTTCTGTTGAAACAACCTTGTCTTCTCATGCATCA